ACACACATAAGCGTAAAATAAGTTTGTGAGAAAACATTTTGAAAAAAATATATTTTATTAAAATTCAGACGGAAAATGGTGTGTGTTTGCTGAAAAGCAAAACATAATTAAATTTTATTAATGAACGCAACTTTTTATTTCCCCTATTTTAATTAGTTGTTATGAACGCATTCAAATATACTTGTAAATACAAATAAATGCGTCATTTGCATTGGTCATTTTTTCGAACCACATATCAGAGGACTTTCTGCCCTTAGCACTACTTATTTATATATAGATGTGGAAATAGAGTTTCGGGCGGAACATGTCTACATTGGTATACAAATATCACTTGCATTGATGTGTCAGCTCGTTTATACGCACACCACAGGTTGTTTGGTGGGGCAATAAAAATAATTGGCTATAAATGCGCCGGGAGCAGAGAGCATATGGTATGTTGGTGATGGTCCATATAGTCAAGTAGACGTTGCCTTTTAATTAATGGAGAAAAGCGGCACATTTGTCGCACTTGTGCACGCACATATAGTACACTCACCCACACAAGCACACACACATACACCTGCCAGTTAGTAGCTTTTTACGACTCTAGTTAGCTGGCGGACTGGCTGGCATGCAGGCTGGTGTAGGAGCGCAGCCGTAGGTGACAACAAATTGGCGACACCTTTAATAGTCTTGCCGCTCTCGATGTGGGGGCGTGGCAGTGCTGGGAGGCGCTACGCAGTTTCAAGTGCGTTGAGTTATATTTTTATGTGCAATTAATTTGCCACAGCAGACACACATTTCAAGTACGCACGCACTTTTAATGCATCCGCAGTACTTTTGTATGTGTGTGTATGTGTGTGTGTGTGCAAACTAATGAGGCTACTCTACAGGGCCTTGTCTGGCATTTGCGAGCCTAAATGTTGACAACCAAAAACTTTTCCACCATTTTATGGTGCTCGTTTTGTGAGCTCGCGCTCGCTCTTTGCAATTAATGTTGATTGCATTTTTATAGGCCACATAGTACAGTACGTGCATGGAAGTGTAGTGTATGTGTGTATGGTGTGTGTGTGTGTAGCACACTTTTGTGCGTTTTGTAATTAGGGCAATGCTCACTGTGAAAAGCTTTAATGTAAATCTTTAAAAGTAAAAAAGCCATGAAACTTACAATAATGGCAGCAAAGAAAATGACGATGCTTGAACCTTAATGTAAACAACATAAAAGCGTATTATACACACACATTAATACACTCATGTGTATGCAAGCAAGACTGCGCCTGACAAGCCATCACAAAGGAACGGCGTTTGTTCGTTTATACACCCTAATATAAGCAGTACTTCCATGCATTGAAACTGAACTACAAAATTCAAACTTCTACCAATAGGAACAACTTTCAGATTTTTAAAAGACGTAGTGCCTCGGAATGACCGAAGATTTTACATCTTTTTGGTAATCTTATTGATAGCATACATTTAACCATTTTACAGAAGTATGTTTCCTTTCGTAATTGTCTAATTTATTTGCATAGAGAAAATATTAATCAGAAAAATTACCGCCTTAGATAATCGATTATGATTAGCCAGAGAAGCCCCAATAAACAAATCTATCCTTAAAGCAGCTTGCGTGGGGCATAGTCTGTCTCAAACAATCGGATCTTTTGCTTGAATTCATGTATTAAGGTAAAGAGTAAGGTAAAAAACAATTAATAATTAATTAAAGAAAACTAGCCAGAGAAGTCCTAGTTAATAATTCTGTCTTTCAAAGCAGCTTGCTTGGCAAAAAATCAATCCGATCCTTTACTTGAATTCTCCTGCTGAAATAAATTTTAATAATTTTATTTCAATCTAACGCTTCTTATCAATGTACTGTATATGAAATACAATTTCTTTGCCATTAAGAGCAGCTTTCCCGGTAACTAGTGCGAATCCATTTCGTAACCCCATCTGCTGGCCTGCATGTCATACAAGCATGGCATATGCGTGAACGAGCATACTATATGTAGTGTATACAGTTAACTTTGTTTCCACGCACCTTATTACTCAGCCTTCTTTTTTCTTCGACCTCATTGCTTGTGCATCGTTATGAAGCTGCTGGCATCATTGTCAGGCCAGACATGCAGTCACTTAAAAGCTATTGTTAAGAAACGTACATATACAAACATAAATATACGGATAAGTATGTGAAGTTCAATGTGTTTTCTTGTTTGTACGGGATATGGGAGATGACAATAAAGCCTGCCATAACTTGACAGCGCACTTGCCACAACTCTCGCATTATTAAAACAAGAAGTACAAAATGAACAGCCAGCACACAATGTGGCCCATTTTGTTGGATATTTTGTTGGAAAATTATGCGCTATAAGGACAATTTGTGCAATTTACGATTGATTTTTCTGGTCAAGCATGCCCACAGCTTGGTGCTCGCCGACCGCTACAAAATTTACGGCTCGGCCTAAAATTGGGTACCGAGGCACTGAACGAAAATCTCTAATTTGCTAATTGGTATAATTAAATGTTTTGTTAATGTTGGCATTTCGTTCGAAACAGAAGAATGCCAGAGATAATGTAAATTGTGTAGTGGGTCATGCGTTTAACTGTGTATGGGTGTGTATGAGTGTGTATTAGTGTGTATTAGTGTGTGTGTTTGAAGGCCCATCAAAATCAACATCATCGTCATCATCAACAGTAACGGCAGCAGCATTATTGCGGTTCCTGTCGCCTCCACTCTTGTAGCCCTTCGCCACAGACTAATGGCAAATCGAACATATTTGCATATGAAATGAGCGAGAAATCGAAACATGACAGCCAGCATTGGCATGGAAACCAATGGTTGAACCATGCCCTTGTCGGCGCCAAAAAGTAAGACAGGAAAGGGAAACGCCGAGCATAACCTCGCACCGATTTCCGGTTCAGACAGTTTCCCATTTAAAACCACTGATATCTGGAGCTGCGCACGTGTGTATATGAATGCCTTTGCGCCCAGATAAAACCATTAGCCTTGCTTAATATGCAAAATCAGAAGTCATTATAATAACTGTTTATGTTCATAATAAATTACGCTGTTGCGTTGACATTCCGTATGTAAGAGCTAACAACTTCATTTTGGCGCTCACACAAGTATAGGCATTTCCCTTAATGTTTTAATTAAAAACGAAGAAACTTGTGACTAATAAAAACACAAAAGCATATCCATACCGCAAATCGTTCATAAACAGGCAGTGTATACAGAATTGGATGAATAGTATTCCCTGCTATAAAATATTTAAAGAGTAGGAGACGCCCAAGAAGCATAAATTTGTTAACTCGATCACTGTAATTATATTTCAGCCATTATTTGAAATTATTTGACAATAATTTTTCGACTCTAATATTTTAAAATGTCGTCTTATAGCTTAAAAATCAATCTGGATAGTAAAAAGTGAAAAGCTAAGGAATCGTAGCTTAAAGCATTATTAATAATTTTAAAAAAAATTTATATTCTACTGGTGGACCGCTGATGGTACATGGACTCTCGGACTCTCTTTCATAGCAATGGATTAATGTTGAAATAATATGAATACAAGTCATTTGGAATCAAAGCTATTTATTTTAGTGTTTAAAGTTGTTTTGTAGTTTAAGAATAGCTTCTTAATATTTTTCAATTGCCAGCAGTGTACTGGGGGAGCATTTTTGCCATTTCTTTTAGGAAGCCCGGCCTCTACTTTTCAGGGGCTCAATAGTAGTAGGACCACACGATTTTATTTGAGCCTGACCACATAGCCAGCATCTGCAAAATGAAATGGAGAATGAAACTGTGCCACTACCTGCTGCCCCTCCAATGGTTAAAACGCGAGACTCTGGAAGATAGGTACCTAGGAATATGGTATACTTATGTCTAAACATTGATTCACGAAAAAGAATCCTTTGCAATATCCACGGGCAAGCCTAATTAGCATCGCGAAAGAACAAAAGCCCTCTTACTGTCCACATTTTAATAAGTTTGTTTGTTGTTGGGCCCAACGCAACGCAACGAAGAAATTGATGTACTTAAAAAATGCAAATGAGTTAAAAAGTTATTTAAATAAGATACAAAAAATTGACAAGGGACCATGGGAAAAAGATTTTTCGTTTAAAAAAAAAAAGGGCGTGTGAAAACTTTGTTGTGGGAATACCGAAGGAAACTGAAATGGTGAGCCATTTCAAGGCAACCACAGGAAAATTCTACAAATGCAATAATAGACTTTTTATAAAATTAAATTTGTTTCAAACAAGCTAATTACCTTTAAAATTTTAAGCAAAATTGGCTTTAGGGACCAACTACAATTTTCCCATTAAAGGACAAAATAACGAAATTTAAGAGCTTGTCCCAGAATAACAAAAAATAAATCCAAATGAAAGGAAAGTGTTGTGCACAAAACAAGGCAACAAAATCCACGGTCCAACCCAAAGAAATAATTCAAAAAATTAAAAAGGGAAAACCTTACAAAACAAAAAAAGCAAGCAGAATTAACATAAAAAAGGATTTGTGCGCTAATTTCACTTTAATGTAAAAGTGGAGCGGCGAAGGCGCTGCTGTCGGCGTTCACTGCGCTGCCAAGAGAAATGCCAGCCATTACATTGCTTTTATCTCCAACTTCCGAGCACTGTCTCTTCCTTTATGTATGTGTGTGTGTGTGTGTGTGTGTGTGTATGTCAGTGCATTTGTGTGTGTATGTGTGTGTCTTGGCATTTTATTTATAGCATTATTAGTGGCACTAAGTAAAAGATCGCCGAGTTTTTTGTGCTTTGCATGTCGCCGCTTTGGCTTTTTGCCGTTGCTTGCACACTTTGCCATCATCTTGGCCGTCTTTTGACTTTTTTGTCCAAAGATAGCAGCAGCAGCAGCAACAACAAAAACGACGACAATATAAGTAGCTATAGAACCAAGTGCTAATGCCCCACGCTAATTATGCGTCATTTGTTAGCCAGCGTATTTTATTCTTGTTATGTTTTTATTTTTACAGACGCCACTCAACTGTCTTACTCCTTCATTTTATTTTCAGGTCCGCCCGTACTCTCCGAGTCCATTATGGGCACAATGGGACGATTGCCCTGCAATGTAACACCGCCCATTTACGAGGATCGTGTCGCTTTGGTTATTTGGTACAAAGTGGGCCTGAAAACGCCCATTTATAGGTAAGCTCACTTAAAATAGCGTCTAATGCCGCAAGCCACTCGGAACTTTAACCCTTTCGTGTCAAATGCAGAACCACAAACCACACAAGTCACATATATTTCACACGGAAACACAGGCACATATATACTACAAGTATATATCTATAAATAAACAAAATTGATTGCCACATACAACTTTTGCGCACTCCAAACAGACAAAAATCTGCACATGTCAGGCTCTGTGGAATCCAAACGAATTTAGTAGGGTTGTGTGAGCCCTTTTTCATTTTGATTTAATGTCTGCTAATTAAGCAATTTTTTGCCCAATCTTGGGCTATGCTGCAACCATTAAATTAGCATAACTAGAAAATTATACACAGACAGATAGATACACAGACGGACGGACGGACGGACGGACAAGGCTGAGAAACTTTTTGGCGTCTGGCATGACGACTCTGGCAATGGAATAATGGCGATGTCGATGACGTTGGTCCAAGGTTACAATTTAACGCAAGAAACTTTTTCAATTATTCATGTCTAATATTATGGCATTGTAGTTTGGCATCCGTCGTTGGACTTTTTCTATCTGACGAGTATATATTTATAGTATGAAAACATGCACATCAAAGGCGCAAAACTTTAATTGGATTTACGCCGACGTATGTGTGCAAGTTTTTGGAGCAGTAACGTTGATTAGCTGATTGCCAGCTAGCCACCCAGCCATCTAGGCAACCAACTAACCAACCAACCAACCAACACACAAGGCACGAAGAGCTCGAGCTGCTGAAACTAATTGAACTTCAACACTTCAAGGACTTGCAAATGACTAGAGCGAAAATAGTAATTAGCGTTGTTGCGTAACGACAGGCCACAGCCGCCCAAGAGCCAACTCTTATTTGTAATTAAAAACCACTCAGCAAATAAATTAATCATAAAAAAGCGAATAGGAATGTTGAAAAAGTTACTACGTTCCGTATACTCAGCTTGGCCACGCCCCAACTGGCATGCAAAAAGTAAAAAATTTAATTTTTCAATATCCTTGAAAACTCTCAATAACCGACTGACTAGCTAACTGCATGACTAGCTGGCATTTCAATTTATCGTTGAGTTGGTCCATATAGTACGAGTATAGTACTTGTATGTTTCTATATCGATTTACTCGATTTCATTTTGCAATTTTTATTACGAGAACCTACACTAACACTGATATACGAGCTGTTGCTCGCTTCGCTCCTCATTATGTTTCGGGCTATACACACATACGCACACACTTACAAATACATATAAAGGATACACATATGGTGAGTCTCATATGTCTGCAAATCAAAATTGAAATGCAATAAAGTGCAGAGCAGCACTTGAAAAGCCCTGGCAAGCTGTCAAATAACACATACTGCACACAACGGCATCCTTGTCTATTGTGTTTGATTTGTAAGCGTTCCAATAGCAATATGGTATACTCATACAGAAGAAAATGAAGAAAGTGAATCAAAGAACGTCAAATCAAGAGATAATGTTGATGCACCCTTAGCTTTAGAGTTCTCTGAAACTCTGATTTTATTTTCATTTATGTTGCCTACTCGAGAGCGAGGCATTTGAGTCAAGGAGAAAATTATATATTTGTTAAGCTTTATTTATAAATTGGAAATAAAAGTATTTTCTGAAACTATTCCTTTGTCAATAAAAATAAAATTTAAGTTTGATTTAAAATTATCCTCCAAGGACATTATTAGTTTATTGTATAAGGAATTGCCTTTTAATTTACCCCATTTTTTTGTTTGCTTTAAGAAGTCTTGAATAGTGTCCAATCGATTATTGGCTGCATTACATTCACAGCCTTAAGCTAACAATCCATTCTTTGTGTACAAATCAGAGGATCATGAATTTTGAACGCGTTTTTACCACAAGCTCGTTAGATAAGAATGAACGATTTTCATTTTTCCCTGAACCTTACATATTGTACATTTGTCGATCAGTTGTTTCTACAACGCTACCACTGAGTTTATCTTTTATAAAACACTCTTGCCCGTCTTTGGTTCAATTATACGTTTATACGTTTCTTGGAATTTTTCTGAGCGTATACAAACTAAGTTTGAAGTTAATCAGATGAAAATTGCAGATTTTTCATACAAACGTTGGAGCCTGTTTTCCCCCCTTTGGAGCTCGAATTTTACAAAATCCCTTCATTGAGAGAATAGATAGTCTATGCGGCAGGAGTGTGGGGCATGATGTGAGGATGTGTTTAGTTAGGACTTTGTCCACGTAATAGGTGTATGTGGGGTATGCTATTGGCATTGCTTTGCTGGTATCTGTGAGACGATTGTTATGGCTTATAATAGTTAAGTATTGCTACATCAATCGTTACTTTTTTCATTGATTTTATTTAACTGAACTAAAAATAATGAATAAAATGAAAACAAATTTACAACAAGCTTTATTCTTTCCTTAAATATTTTTAATTTATGCCCCTAATTATTCTCATGACACAAATTTCTAAAGATCTATTTGTAAAATCACATCTCACATATCCTCGCTTTGTTCAAATTTAAAGGTCTTTTAATTACCGTCAACACTCATTAACGCATGGACCTTTTGGATATCTGCCCGTCGATTTAATTTATTACAATACTCGTCTTATGCGCCTACAGGTTTTGCAATAATCGAAAGTATACTGCATACTTACTTCGACTGCATGACGCTGAACTTTATTTTTGTTTTTTGTGTTTCTATATTCTTAGCGCCGCTCAACTCATGCTTCAGAACTGACCTACATTACGAAACAAACTACCTTATACATCCATATACATACCTAAATCATTACCCTCTAAGTATTTACCTCCACAGCAACGACAACAAAAACAAAGTTGACGCTAATGCGCAGCCAGACTCAAACTTTTAAAGCCAATTGCCAAACATTTGACATGGGCAGCGCTGTAGAAAAATAAAATAAAATAAAAAATACAATGAGAACAAAACTTTAAGACCATTGATTGACCGCCAAAATGAGCTCATTACGACAACTTTTTAAATCGCTGAAGCTCAAAAAATAAAAAACAGAGAAAAGAACCGTTCGTTCCAGCATACAAGAAAGTAATCAATAATCTGATATTTTCAAGTAAAACAATAAATTTTGAGCACGTGGACTGGGCGCAGGGCGGGAACTTGGCTCTGAATGGCATTATTAATTCATTGGAGAACCCAATTACACCGTTTACCGAACTTACTGCTAGGTGAACAGCACAAAAAAGAAAGCTTCCCCAACTTGCCACCAAAAATTGTTTAACTCACCGCCTAACTTATAGCTAAAATATGTTCTTTTTCCCACCATTCTTCTCCTTTTCAGTGTCGATACACGCGACTCGAACTTTGCGCAGGGCACGCACTGGTCCGATGAAACTTATCGCGAGCGATTGTCCTTCAACGTGGAAGGACGTGCAGGCACGCTGACCATCAAGGCGACAACGGAGGAGGACACGGGAGAATATCGTTGTCGTGTGGATTTTCAGAAGAGTCCGACACGCAACTCCAAAGTGAATTTAACAGTCATAAGTAAGTGGTTATACTTAGAAGAATGGATGCTACATTTTTGGAAGTTTGGTTACAGAATGTTTTTAATAAACAGCTTATGAATAGAAAATATTAAAATTTAAATATACAAATCTAGGGAACTTCCACAACTATTCGCCACATTTGATAATTATGATTCAAACTTAAACAAAACTAGTGCAATACAAAAATAAAGTTTTCTTAAAGTTTAAAGCTTCTTTAAATCTGTTTTAGTTGGATTGAAGATAGGGAAATCGTATTCAAACAATTAAGTAGTGCTAACGAAGCTTCGCCGCATTTAATTTGTCACAACAACATCCTTTAAGCTCAGGAAAAATTAAAAACAAATCCTTTGTATACCTATTGGTTATAAATGAAGTTTATATTTATTTAAATAAATACTTTTCTGGCAAGTTGTGACCACACTTATAGGAAATGAAGTAATTAAAGTTTTAAAAGAAAATTTAAATGCAATTATTTCTAAACATACGAGTATAATTTTAGCCTCAACACTCGAGCATGCTAACTAAATCCACTCTTTTGCTATGCTATTCATGAGCAAACACATTACGCGCACAATAAGATGCTAACTAGTCGTATATAGTATGTTGTAATGGTATCCAGCAGCCTTGTGCTTCATGTGCTGCTCCTTGCAACGGCTAAAGGAAGCTACAGCTTTTGAAGTGCTAGCTTGGCAAAAAAGTTTGATGCTGCTTAAAGCACCGCAGCAAAAAGTAAAAGAAATGGTAGAAATAACAAGTAAAAAAGCTAAAGTCGGGTGTCCCGACTTTGAAATACTCTGTACATATGTTTACAATAATTATAGAAAATAAAAAAAATTAAGAAAATAAAAAAAAAATTTGATCGATTTTACCTCTCTCGGTATTCGAACTCACGTAAAGGGTGTATAATTGCACATTTACATAGCAATTGCGTCTGTGTGAGTGTATGTATGCCTATGCGCATCAATTCGTGTCTGTGTAAGCATTTTCGCAGTCAACCAAACAGCAACATCAACAACAGCCGCGGGCAGCGCTTGAGCAGCGCTGCAGCAGCGCTGCATCAGCAAATATATTTATGGCTATAACTTCTTGTTAAATCGGTCTATCATAATGAAATTTGGCATACGGACACATAATAACTAACTGGGGGTATTTCCAAAATTTTAGTTCGAAATTCCAAGAATTACGGGAGTTACGATTTGCGGGGTAGAGGGGGGAGGGAGGGGAATTCCAAAATATACATTTTCTGCGTATTCACATAAGGCATCTGGGACTAAAATTTGGTGTTCCTAGGTCTTATAGTCTCCGAGATATAGGCGATTATACGAATGGAAAATCGGAAAAACCCCCATAGGGGGGAAGTGGGGGGGAAAATCAAAAAAATAAAACAAACTCGTATAGAATACACACATAACGCATCTTCGTGCAAAATTTGGTGTCTCTATCTCTTATAGTCTCTGAGATCCAGGTGTTCATACGGACGGACAGACGGACAGACGGACAGACGGACAGACGGACAGACGGACAGACGGACAGACAGACAGACAGGGCTAGATCGACTCGTCTCGTCATGCTGATCAAGAATATATATACTTTGTGGGGTCTGCCACGCCTCCTTCTGCCTGTTACATTTTTCAGCTCCCGCAAACCTAATATACTCTTGTACATTTCATGTACAGAGTATAAAAAGTGCAGCTGCCAACTTTTGAATTGAATTTTTGCTATTTAAATGGTTTTGGTCGCATTCACCCCTAACCTCGCGCTACCTGGGAAGTCGGGCCACAGCTTGCAATTTACCATTAAAATTTATATGCTTTTTCAAAGGCGTACAACCAGAATATATACGACTTAGTCTGGGGCCAATGCTGAGCAAAAATATTGTTGGTAAATAGTTGCTTCTGCCGCTGCTACTGCTGTTAGATGAAGTGTAAAGCGTTGCAAGCAGGCGTGGTTGTGTTCTACAAACTTCTTGAGCATGTTAACATGCTGCGCCTGTCTACCTACTATACGAATATTTATGTGTGTGTTCATGTGTGTTTGTGACATGTGAAGCGTAAAACCGAGGCAGGATTTAAAACTTTGTCGGTTGGCGAAAAAAGGAAGAAACTTTAAAGAAGATATTAGATTAAAACTTAGCCCAGCAGTCTGGGTGGACAGTTTGGACAACTTGCTGTAGCTGTAGCTGTAGTTGTAGTTGCTAGCTGGCTAACAAGGCGTATGCGGATGTGTCCAAAACAAGCTGAACGGTCAAGTGAGCTGCACCAGAGCCGAAACGATATGGCAGGCAGAGGCGGAAGAGAAGGAGAAAATACGCAAGCAAGCAGCATGCTTTGCACAAGCTTAACATATTTTGCAAATTTGGCAGCAAATATGTTAAAACCATTGTGCATCATGACGCAAGTGCAAAGTGCAGCCATAAGATACATTACCGGCGCTCAAAATATCGTAGCCTCAACATCAGGATCAACAAAATTAAAAGCGCAAAGCGCGCCAGAACAAAGCAGAGTGCGAAATAAAAGACGAAAAATAAGCGGAAAATCTGCCAGGCGCGTGCCAAACGAGGCCACAGCCTTGCATTCCCTGTGGCACAAACAAGTCAAAATAGTGGCTAGGAGGCAAAATAAAACACAGAATTTTCTCAAAATTAAAAGTTTGCCCAACACGTCGGCGAAAAATTTACGGCTTTATTTCCTTGCTAGCCGCGAAGGTGAAGAAAATGAGACTGCCGTCTGGCAAGGTTTGCGCGTCGAGTCCTGCAGCGGGCCGCAGTGACTTTGAGATGAACTTCGCCAACGGGCACCTGGGGCTGTCTGAATAGTTGCTCAAGCATTATATTATGCTTTCTTACTTTTGTTTAACTTCCAAATAAAAATGCTTTAAAGTTTACATAGTCGGACCAAATTAAATATTAAATCCAGATTGAAAATTATATTAAACAACATATAAATACTGCTTTCTTCTTATTCTTCCCTTTAAAATAAATTGTAGCAGTTTTTTATTAAGAGCTAAATTAATTAAGGAAAACTCTTAACCACATCATATTTATGGATTTAGAATTAAAATGTTTTCTTTGCATGACTGATTATATTCAGATATAGAATTACGCATCTTAACATTAAAGCAATGTGATATATGAAGCGAAACTTCGCTGATTGACCTCAAACCAACTTCAAATCATATATGTTCAATATAATGAAAGTGCGTCTTAAAATTGTATCAGCATCGAAGCCCACAAAAGGCTGGGGGACAGCTTCTGCCAAATCATGTTGTTTATTAATATAAAAAGTTCTACAAATCCGAAATTGTAATTCATATAGAAAAAAAATAAAAATTTGATTTTGAAAATCATATAATCGATCTTTTTATCGATTTATATTTTTTATGATTCGTTAGCCTACGAAATACATTTTATTATTAAGGAACTATAAGAAGGTTTCTTTTTATATATATCATGTTAAATAATCGTATTAAAGCTTCACCAAATTATGAAGTTTATAATTTGCTGTTCATTATTTTACAGCACCGCCCGAGTCAATTATTATATTGGATAGCAAAGGTGCCACCATTAAGGATGAGAAACTTGGTCCCTACAACGAAGGCTCCATTTTAAACATCACATGCGTGGCCATTGGTGGTAAGTAAAACGCTTCACCAGCTTGTGTATATGTACATACTATTTAGATGTGTGCGTATGTGTGTGTGTGTGTATATGAGCCTGACAATTAAAAATGATGACCATACTGATGGAATGGAGACACGTTGCGCCGGCGGACAATCGGCCAGCAGCTAGCAAAGATATCATTTTATTTAATTTGGAAATGCTGAAATGCTGTCTGCAGCACGAGCACGAGCACAATAAAAGCAACAACATCAACAATGACAACAACAGCAACAATAAAAGTGCGCACAATGCCCACACAAATTGCATTGAGAGCACTTGAAAATTGCTAAAAGCCAGACAAGACAACAAATGAAACAGCGAAAGGCACTTGTACACACACACGCGCACTCACACACATGCACCGACACATGCACATCCACATACACATCATCACACTCACACCAAGCCAGCCACTCCTTGCACTTGTGCACACACACACACACACATAAACAAACAAATGAAGGAAAAGCGCTGCCAGCAACTGCAGCAGCCACTCAACGGGAGATGCTGAGACAGAATAAGGATAAGAGGAGACCCCCACGTACAGGCACACACACGCACACTTTTCATCCAGACAGCATCGATTCTAAGCTGTATAACAAACATATCAGTTGCACGCCGACGCATACACATACACACACATATAGCCCGTCCCAAGCCATGCACTCAATAATTCTGAACTTTGTCTTCTTCCTTGCCACATATTGACGCCCTCCCTGGCAGGTCGACCACAACCGAGGGTTACCTGGTGGCATGAAAACACGCAGCTAGACAACTCTGCACATCCATTGTCGGAACGCCGGGTGGGCAATGTTTTGTCTCTGGGAAAGCTGAAACGCAAAAATCTGGACATGCAGCTAACGTGTCAGGCGTCTAACAATAATTTGACAAAGCCAATTATTAGCAGTGTCCGACTTGACATGAACTGTAAGTAAAGTGAAGAGTCTGGTTTGGAAAGGAACCGGAACTTTACCTAATTAATTTTTACCCATTGCAATACCTGTAGTGCGTCCGCTCATTGTGAAGCTGCAGGGCGAGAATCGACCACTCTCGGCCGAGAACTCTTATCAGCTGAGCTGCGTTGTCATCGGCTCGAGACCGGCGCCCACAGTTACCTGGTGGAAGGGCAGCACACCCATGAAGAATACACATGAAATTGTAAGTTTCCAGTTGCCATTTGAAAGTTCTTGAATTCTTGAAAATGCAAATGTTTGCGCTGGCACGCATCGGGCTTGTTAATGTTACCCTGAGACCCCAAAATGCTTTGCGGTAATTGAAGTTGTTTGCCACAGCAGTCACGTAGCCTAGCAGCAATTAAAAGAAGCTGGGCACAATAGCAAACAAACAACCCTGCAAGTCCTCCACCCCACCCCTTCCCATCCCATCCCATTCCCCAATCCTTATCCCATCGACTGTTTTGGCATTTGATTGGGGGTCTGGGTTTTGAGGACTGCACGTGCCAACAACCCTTTTGCCTTTTCTTAACTTGACTTTTAAATGACAAGTACGAGTACTTCACTACCTTTCCCTGTTCGTTTTCGTTTTTGTTTTTCAGGCCAATCCGGACGGCAATATGACCACCTCCATATTAACATTTACGCCCACCATTGATGATCGCGGCAAGTTCTTGTCGTGTCGCGCCGAACAGAGCATGATACCGGAATCGGGCATGGAGGACGGCTGGAAATTGGATATCTATCGTGAGTATATTTACATTTTTCAACACAAATATTATCGTGCATTATTAATTGCCTGCCACAAAGGACCTCTCCCTTTTGCTTGGTCCAATTTGCGCAATCATTCAGGCGAGCCTAATTGAAAACGTAGATACTGTGCCCTACAAGGAACATAAGAACTGTACTCCAAGTGATGCCAACTTGTTAGGCACATCAAAGTTGTTTGTAAATCAACAAGCCTTTTAGCGGCTGTCACTTGCCCCGTGCCCTAAACGCTGCTCCTGTTACACGTGGCGTATGCTTAATATTTAATTTTGTCTTGGCCGCAAATTTCGAATGAAAACGAAAGCACAATGGCAGTGGCGCCGTTTTAAACACTTTGCCAAAATTCTATATGTAATGCCAGTTTTTCTGTGCCAGCTTGTGGCAAGTTTTGGCAAATTAATTTCCAGGCTCGTCCAAAAAACTTTCAGACAAACTTACGAAACTTTTTAACCCGCCACAAATACCACGGCGTCGCTGCAGCGTCGGCGTCGTGGCATCAGCGTCGCGTCTTCTTTATGCTTTTACAGTTTTTGACCTGTTTGCATAAAATTTAAATGGCTTCGGCTACCTACCAGTACCAGCTCCACGCCCTCCCCCGAAATTTCAGCCTTATGGTCTCTCCTCCCCAAGCACCGCTTCCTATTTGCTTTTGCGCGCGGTTTTGTGCTGCTTACCTTTCAACATATTTTTTTCTCGCTTTCTTTTAGAACAACCCTTTGCTCAGCCTGTTTGCACAATTTGATAGATTGCTTAATAAGCTTAATTTATTTGCCGCAATTTTGATTTGATTAACTTAAACATTTACTTGTTTAGGGCGCAAATAAATTGCGCCGCCATTTTCTGTGTAGCACGTGTAGCTTCATTTCTCGCTCACAGCAACAACAAATAAAAAGTGAAACACAAACAAAAAGAACAGCACAGCACACAACAAACAAACAATTTGCGAAAAAGCAGCCAGACTGCAAGCCAACCTTTGCCTAATTGCGTGCTCACATGGCGCCCGCCTACGCAGCTGCTACAAAACCGAAAGCAAAAAAGTCCAACTCTGATAACCTGCCATCGACCGACTTCCACATACCCTATACAATATCTCGCAATAAGCTGTGAACATTTTATAGACTTTAAACAAGGTAAAAAACAGTTGTCTGTATAGTTAAAATCGCATTTAATATACCCCAGATTTTAATTGCAAGTTTGAGTAAACTAATATTTTGAACTCCGATAAAAAATACACGTATTATTGGATAATCTCGTCGACAATTCCTTTTTCAACGCTTAAATTTTGGTACGCATCCCCCTTCTTGGCGCCTAACATACAACCGAATAATATCATAATAGCCTGTTGCCCTACTCAGCCTTAGCCAGAGCATACATTATTTGGTTTCGAAGCAACTTAGCCATAGCATTTACAAAGCGCTCACAGGCCACCAGGGCGAACAGTTCTACAACTTAAATTGGCTAATTTGTTGGGCTTTTAAAAATTTACACCTTGGCTGCATGCACCCATTTTTGTTTGGCTATTTTGTAGGGGCCGCATTTTGCTTTACGATTAGCAGGCTCCCTTTAGCTCTCAACGTCGGCCATTTAAGGTAATTTATGTTTTTGTGTATTTTGTAGGCTGCTATAGCCCAGCATCATTTGCAGAAGCGATGGAGGCCTACTTTTTCGTTTATGCATTTTAAATTATAGCAGTTCTCTTTCTCATAATTATGCATTTCTCTGTTTAATTGCAGACATTCCCGTGGTGAGTTTGGAGTTGGGTACGAATTCACTTAATTCCACATTGCGTGAAGGCATCGATGTATTCTTCGAGTGCAATATTAAGTCAAATCCATGGATCTACAAAGTTAGTTGGCGCCATAATGTAAGTAAAAAAGTTCAAGAGAATGTCACACTTTAATGATTATTTGATAATACTATTAATAAACAGAGCAATATATTGGACAAGCTACTGTACGCCCAGATAAAGATATTTTTGCTTAACTTTTGAGAAATGAACTGAAAACAACTTCATAAGATCACTGCAAGGATCAGTGTACATTGTCTTTAGTGTGCTAGTTTACAATACCCAGGAGGAAGAATAACATACAACATACATATTACAGATTCATTATGATCAGCAGCAATGTCTATCAACTATTACTCTAACAGTTAAAGAATTTTCGCATATACTATATATGTAGTTGTCATAAAAACAATATGATAGCTATCAATAAATTGTTTTCTAAAGAAAAATAAAAGTTCGTCGTCCAGCACTATAGAGAAATAATGTATTCTTGTAGCACACGGAAGAGTGCGGAGGAAAATAGTCTAATCCGTATACTTTGAAAGATGTGCACAGAAATGATACATATACACGAATATTATCAATACATGCACGCTGACATAAAATGGTGAAGACAATAGATCCTATATTCATTTCTCAAATACGAACACAATATATAAGATAGTATAAAAGTCAAATTAAATTTATTTCAATTTAAAGTTTTAAAAAATATAAAATTAATCTCGACAGCTCAGTATTTTTTATTCGAGTTATTAAATCTCTTGGTTAATGTTTAAAAACCACTTTCAATAAATTCAGAAATATGCAATATGATGTTATGTCTATTTCGAGATCAGAATTAAACATATTTGTATGCTTACTTATATACATATGTGTATAATTGTTGCTAACAATTTGTCGGCACGGCACACTGCCAACATGCCACACCGAAAGCATCAGTTTTTAGCTTCACAGTTACCTTCTTATTAGCAACCAGATTCACTCAAGCGTTGCTCATTTCATGCCTTTTCGCCCAGCTAATTCGAATCGATACCATCGGTCCTATATTTCCTACCCCAAAGCACAATTTAAGCGCCCCTGAGGGCTCTTTCAAATGTTTCCAAAGCAAACCGAACAAAAAATTGCAAATGATTATTATTATTATTTTCATTATATTTTATACATAAATTACCTTGAGGCAACACAACAAAATGTAAAGAGCCTGCTCGCAAACTATGTCATACACATTCTGACTCAACACATTGTAATTGTTGCATATTTTAGAGCCACAGACAACCAAAAAAAGTTGTATATAAATAAATATATGTGTATATCTTTGCGTATGTAGCGGCAAAAAAATTTATAACATTTATTATTGAATTATTGAGCAGTAAAAGCACTTAACAATTTATGCTGCCGGCAATGCCAGCATTTTAAATTATGCAGCCCAAACCCAGATGCCAGCCCCAGCCCTTTCCATGCCCCTGCCGTGCTTCGTTCGAGAACCGACCCTGAGGCTGCCAAAGAGTAGCGCTACATGAAAGTGTTATTAGCTTCAAATTTAATTTATTTCATTTCACAGCTATCGCCAAATTGAAATTAATTCAATAAATTATTGAACATTTTATACCGCCGCGCGCATATTTATGGCCGCACATTTTCAATTTTTGCCTAACCACGCTCTTTACCTCCACGCATTTCTTTCACAGGGCAATATATTGGAGAATAACCCAGCCGAAGGGATTGTCGTGGCCAATCAGAGTCTCGTCCTGCAAAATGCGAGCCGAGCCCGCAGTGGAATTTACACGTGTGTGGGCAGCAATCGCGAGGGTGATGGCGAAAGCAATCCTGTGCAGTTAGATATTCGATGTGAGTAAAAACATACATATATAGTATATATATACATAGACATACTATGCTCGTATGCACTCGTACATATATTTTCTATTTATTTAAAATGCAGTGTGAAAGTTACATGTGTAAACAACAAAATCAATTAAATTTCTTCCATAAACTCTATCAAGAATTGTCTTGGCAAGTGCCAATACGAATTTGGAATTGAATTTAATTAAAATAAAATGCATCTGAATCACAAATTCAATTTGCCAAACTTGCTGCTCAGTACGTTGAAGTTATGACAGAGGCCAGTGTAAATATGTAACAAGCCATCCAGGCGAGTAAATAGCAATGCAAACAAACACAAAGACTATACTATATACTGTATTCGAAGTCATGTCCAATAGTACAACGTCGTGTGTTTAGTCTGGTTCATAGATTATATAAACCTAGTCGTGATCTGATTAAAAAATAAAGGATTATCATTTAAGCAAGTGCACATTTCATTTATGAGTCGTATATAGTTTTTAGAGTGATGTTCAGATCGAGAATAAGGTTTGAAGAAACGACACTAATTATTTGCGGCAAGTCAGAACCTCCAAATAGCTCAGTTTCACATACAAAGGGCAACAAACTTCAAATGATCCTAAGTTAAATAAAACTCATATTACATTGATAAAAAATTAAAATAACAAAGCGGGTTTCAGCCATGTTTCTGCGACTTCATCAACTTATTTAGTAGAAGTCTAAAACATTAGTTGCTATAAAATTTGATTTTCGAAAAATACTGATGTTCTCAAAATTAAAGTGTTCGCAGAACATTATAAAAGGGTAAACGGGAATTTTCTAGAAAGCCTCAACACCAAATTTATATTATTTTTGAATATTTGTATATCTGGGGACACCAAACTTGGGAAGAGACAGAGACAAGCTATATTTTTGATTCTTCGGTTCCATGACATGTTGACATGTATTTCAATATCTAATCTAATTATTATAAAATTTGTATAAATGATATTCTTAGTAGCAGGGAAATAATTTAAAATAGTGAAAATGTGTGTGGTTCATTTTGGACCGAAAATTGCTTAAACGTTATGCCATCACCTTTTTAAAGATACTGTTAGATATTTAGCTCTAGAACACACTTTACAATCAAACTTGCCTCTGTTGCACTTTTCATCACTTGCTACACTTAATCGAGCCAGCAAGCCAGTAACAGGAATAATTGCAATAAATGTACAAAAACAAAAGCACAGCAAAATAACAAAATAATAACAACTATAATTGTACTTATAGTAGTTGCTTGCTTTTCAGGCTGCAACAATCATTTATTCATTTATGTATGTTTGTACGTATAAAAGCTTCTGCTGAAATTATGCAACAATTGGCAATATAAATATGAAATAACAGTAAATTAAATGAAACATCTTCAACTGGTGGCAAGTTATTTGTGTCCCTCTTGTGGTAATTGTTTTGTTTTACACCATTAACAAGCAAATTGGATTCGATCTGCAATGTATTTTTTATACCCGGTACCCAAAGGATAAGAGTTCAATAGAAGTAGTATGTACACATTAAAACTGTAATGTAATAGCCAGGAGGCGTGGTCCATAATAATTCCCACGAAATTACGAATGGATTTTAATAAATACATCTGTTCGTATGGGTAAACACCCAGCAATAAGAGCTGCTGCCATCGATCCGCTCGGTAAAAAAAAGTACTCTTAAAAGGTCTGATTAATGAATATACAAGTATGTTGAGAAAATTTAGCACTTATGTGCTAATCTAAAGTGCATAAGAACGAATAAAACTGTAAACTTTACAATTAACTTAGGTGCCATAGTAAAAAACAATCTATTTATGTTTAATGGCGGGTATTTAAGAGTAAGGCTGGCATAACTTTAAAATTCTGAATGCGTTTTTTATCTTGGCTCAACTCACTTATCCACTTTCCCGTTTTCTGATCTCCATCTTTATAGTTGCACCCGTGTGCCGTCCCTTGCAACGCACTTTGTATAGCACAGGACGTAATGAAATGGTTAAGGTGGCATGCGAAATCGATGCAAATCCCACTGAGGCAACATATGTCTGGAAATTCAATGCGACGCAGGGCGAGACAATTGATATACCTGCCTCGTTGGTGGCCGTGGATCGTGGACGGAGCATATTGCACTATACGCCCGCCACGGAAAATGTAAGTAAACGATGCATATGCAATGGATGGCCAACAACAAGTTCATATAAATCAGATGCCAACGTTAACTTGGTTGGTTAGTTACTTGCTTGTTTGCGTGCCTGCTTGTCTGCTTTTTCGTGCTCGATGGGCGACACATAATTTTCCGAACGAATTGCGGTTTTGAATTTTCAATTAAGGCTGAAGAGGTGTGCCGCCTGTGTGTCCCTGTACTACATATATGTGCGCATGCATAAATTAAGCCGACATAAGGCTATGGGATTGTCAGCCATACTAACACACACACACACATACATCCCATGTGACTTCCCTCTTGCTTTCTATTTCCAGGACTATGGCACACTCATGTGCTGGGCTACCAACGAAATTGGCGATCAAAGTGAGCCCTGCGTGTACACAATAGCCCCGGCAGGTGAGTAAAGTCGGAAACGACGGAAGGCGGCAACAGAGCCATGACCCACGAGCTCGCGTGTCAGTTTGGCGCGTTGGCTTCATTTCCGCTTTATAGCAGCAGCAGCAGCGACCAAGATGGTTGGCCACACAATTTCCACAGTAGCACAGTGTTATGGAATTGGTAAATAAGCTTTTCAAAATGTGCATTCTCATTTCATTTTGATTTTGAAAATTATATTTACGTTTTAATATTGAATATGGTGCTGAGGAACAAATTTATGATTAGGTTTAAAAAATGTTTAATTATGAGTATATTTTTACTACTTTAGAATAATATAATAAAATTCTCAACAGGTATTCTATTCTGGTAAAAGATAATGACATGTTCTTAGTATGTTTTTTTTAATATATTCTTATGCCAATATTCCACTTGAGACAAGAGTTTGCAGAATTCGAGTAGAAACGAACCACCGTTTTCGAGGAAGTAGATTTTTATTTCACTGAAAAATTTCACACACAATTATTGTTAATAATGAGATGTTAAATATTGGATATTTAAGTTTTGAGTGTCGTTTTCCACTCTCCAAGATTTTGTTAAAAAAACACGTAATTTTAGTAAAAAGCTCCTGAAATGGGTATATATCCATTAACTATGTATGTAATTTCAGCATCCAACTTGTTTCAGAAAATATTATCTCATATTGCCTTCTATATATAAATCTTAATTTATAAAATTCTCTTTAAGGAAAAGCATTGCTTTGAGGACTAATTTCGGTATTCGCTTGTTAATTTAATACTGTATATAATTGTTTTTAAATTTTTTTACACCAATATTCCCAAGTCAGAACACTGTGCGTTGTGTGCCTGCTGCTGCTCCGTTTTTGTTTATGTTTTCCTTTTTGTGTGCTGGGACGCTTTATGCTGATTTGTTGATGACTTTGGCACTCTGGCACGTTGGCCTGGATTAGCCAAAAAGTTTTCTGGGTGTATGGCAGTGTGTATACTATATGTGCTGTGTCGCGGACTTTTGATAAGCGACAACAGCTACGTGGCTTATTGATTTTGAGCAGTATCTGCTGCTGCATGTGCCACTTACTCGAATACCAGAAACTACAAATCATTGAAGTGTCAAGCGTCCAGAATTTACAATTTGCTGCTTACCAATTCTGTTGCTCTTCCATAGGCGAGCCTGATCCATTGCTGAATTGTACATTGTTAAACCAAACGTCGACTGGGTTTCAAATCGAATGCATAGAAGGCTTCGATGGGGGTCTGCAACAGGATTTTATAATGGAAGTCTATGTGAATGGAACGACTCGCCATCCAAAAATTTACAAATCCAAGTGAGTAGCTGATACGGAGACATTGAATGAATGGCGTCAGTGACAATCAGAATCACACGCCATGTGACTTTTGAATTACAACGAAATCAACGAGGCGTGCGAGTACATGTCCAGTATCTGGACTTGAATTGGTCAAGCTAGTCTCATGCCATCCATGCGATTGTCGAACTCATTCGTTCACCATTCCATGCTCAATGCTCATTTGTTCTTCTTCTCTTCTATTGTCTTTCCTTTTTTGTGGTTTTCTTGCCTGCTGTCCTAACCAACATTCAAATATCGATTTGATGTGCATTACATGCTCGACATTGCATTGGAACTCAAACACAAATCTGCATTCGTACATAGAACACCCTACTTTGAGGTGCGTGGTCTGGTGCCCGGCATGGGCTATAACGTCTTCCTCATTGCCCACAACAACAAGGGACGTAGCAATGCGACCATTTTACAGGTCTACACGCTGAAGGATCCGGAAAAACAAACGGGTGAGTTATACGGCCAGCATGTTAAGACCTAATGGAATTGAGATGCGTGTAAAGCGGGGAGTCGCATCGGAATGGGAAGTTGAATCGATTTGAGTTACATGCATGCTCCAGCAGATTAATTGACGATGGTTTTGCTATGGGTGCAGTCCATCCGGCAGTGCTTAGTGGGGTAGAGCGGTGGAGTAGTTACGTTTGCCTTTTAATTTGCTTTCAGTTCTGCTTTCTAACTTTTGTTTCGTTCTTTTGGTTGCATGCCTTTCAGTTAAGATAACCTTTACCAAGTCTTATAATAGACCTCTAACAACAACCTCAACAATTGCACCAAGCACCGCTCCAGATTGCGTGTGTGATGAAGATTCGGATGTGGGCAGAGGGGGAAGTGCTGAGGACGAAAGTAAGCTTGATGATGGTAGCGGACAGTTTGAGTTTTTTATTATTATTTAAAAACTATAAGTATTTATATGATTCCATCGTTACTTTGTGTAATTTTATTTTGTATGTTTTCAATTTTCAAACAGTTTGTCACTAGAGATATTTTATGTTGAATTTCAATATTTTCTCAATTTATACTTTCTTTCATTTTAGTTCAAAGTATAATTTTATTTCTTTTTAAACATTAATTTTATTTATATTTTTATGTTAATTTAATTATTTTTTGGTAAAATATACACTTTTAATAGTTGCCTAAAGCTCTACATATTTGTTTGATTATACATTACTTTTGATGCCCTATATTTGCATTTCATTATCGTTATATTTTATCCATTAATTTAAGAATAAAAAAAGTGCTGTGATTTATTATTAAATCAATTTTTCAAAACTTTCGTACTTTTGTAAATTCTGCTTAGGTTTTATTTCATTTCTGTTATTTTTCTGGCGAGATTTAATTTTATTATTCCCTCACTTTAAACTCGCCTCACAAAGTCCGCACAACAAATCCGAGACCGACTAAAAACGCCCGACATGCCATCGCTGGTGGCGACTGAAGCAAGAATTAGTAACCTTAACACCGAGTGCTTAACAAAGGACCTGCACCACACACGTACACACTCGACTCGTACTGACACACTAATATATGCAACTCATTAAAGCGGCACTGAATGCAAAGCACGCGCACAGCGCTGACCAAGGACAGACAAACGGACAGTGGAAACAACAAAAACAGCAACTACTACTGCAGCTCCGGAACGTAGTTAGCAGCTCATAAAACAATGCGCACAGTGAAATAACAAAAAACAAAAATGGCATGTGGAGCAGAAAAGAAAAATATGCAACATACTACATACATATGAGTCGAATTATTCCAGCACACGCTCACAACTCACAAGCTCTATAATCTCGCTCATTTGCTCACTCTATTCGTTTGTCCGACAGACCACTCGCTGGCCTATGCACCCGTCATCGAGGACATCCGGCCATTTCTTGGCATACTCGCCGGCATTGTGGGCAGCATACTCCTCGTTGCTCTTATCATTGTCATTGTGGTGCGAGTGCGCGGCTCGTCGGGACGCGATCGCAATAATTACTCACATCCGGGCAGCGGCGGCAATAGCGTTGGCGGCACCAGTAACGGCAACGGCAATGTGGTCCTGAGCAGCGGCAATGGCGGCCTCCTGATGGGCAGCAATAACAACGGTAGTCTCGGCATCGGCACACTCGCGCACAATGGGGGGCAATCAGTGCAGGACATGCATCGTATTGGACGCGAAACGTGTCATGTGACGAGCAGCTTGGACAGCATAGATAAGAATCCAGACATAATACCGCAGGGTGAGTACAGAGTCATCGAGCTGGAAGTTTAATTTGACATCAAACTAACCGGTTCTCGACGTTTTCCAGATGGTCACGACATCGACGACGAGTGGACAACAAAGGGCCATGGTCGAGCTTATGCTACAGCGGCACTGGCCGAACAGAATGCCGTGATTACCTCATCCACATATGATCACATATTGCCCACGTATGCGGTCGTGGATAAAAAATCGGCACTGCCACCACACGGTCAATATATACAGTATAATACGCTTATACCCGTTAGCAAAATGGGCGCTTATGCCAATCAACAGCAGCACCAGCAGCACCAGCAGCAACAACAACAACAACAACAACAACAGCAGCAACAGAAGGTGAGTTATGTTCGGTACTTGCTCTAATCCACACTTAGCCGGCAGCCAAACATTTAACCTTTTACAATGGCGGCTGCCATCTTTATTTATAGCCCCAAGTTGGGGCAGCTGAGCTACAATGGCAAGCGATGGCCAAGTCGATCCGTAAGCGAGCTGCCACTCCTGCAGTTGCTCCTCTTGTTGTTTCTGAGCGCATATTCGGTTAAAGTGGTTTTTATGGCCAACAAACAGTTCATTATTTTAGCCACAATTGATGGCCCGCTTTCATGGAGCGAAGGGGGGCCAAAGCTAACTGCCACATAGCAGGTAGTTTTCAGTTTCTTATCACGCACTCTAATTGAATTAGTACGCCGTAGGGACGGTTTGGAAATTACAACACACATTGACAAGATTATAGAAGACGAATATATGAACATTATGGGGGTATTTTTTGGCCACAAAATCGATAAGCCCACCCACCTTTAATCTAACCCATCATTTCCATCGTTCTAAAACAAAATCAAAATAGTTTTCTTTAAATTATTATTTAAAGTGTGACGACCTTCAAAGCATTTTCCTTCTTGTCTTACAAAGTCTTTTATTTGATGTAATTGGACGAAAAACAAACTCTTTGAAAATGAGCCGCTGAGCTGCTGTTTGAAAAAATGCACTCAAGAGGTATCACATTTCGATGCCTTTGGATTTGCAGCAATGAGAAAAAATACATTGATGGCAATAACTCACTTCAATAGTGCCGTATTTCTTCTTTTTTAACATTTTCCACATGGAATCAGTTGAGAATCTCACCTTTTGCAGTATTACAATTATTGTGCGCCAAAGGAAACGTGAGCTCAGAGCTCATTAGAAGTTACGCATATAAGCCCACCCATAGTTGGAAATAGCGAACTGCTAGCGAACTTCCATTAAGAATGTTACGAAAATACATTTAAATTCAGATCAAATGCATTTCATCGGCAACATCGATAAACAGTGAATTTTGTTTTAACTCAAATTCAAATAAATAACATTGGCTAAAAACATTTGGCAGCAGACATCTGTCTGTGAGTGCTGTACGAAAAATGCGGGTGAAGGTCGTGCAAATATCCGACTGAAAAGCAGGAGAAACGAATAAAAATCAGAGAGAGGCGTAACGAGAAACTCAGAACTACGGTAGCAGACGCAACATAATTTGAAAATCATTTAAGTAGAAGTTTCTGAAGTAGTAGAAGTATACGCCTCATAGGCAGCATGCAACCAGCAAGCGCCAGACACATTATAAACAACAAGCATAGCATGTGTAGAGGGAGTGGTTATGTGAAGAAGTGGAAGCGTTGCAAGGGGCGTTATCAATGTAACTGGTTTTACAATGTAACACTAAGCAATAGGAGAAACCTTTACCAACAACAATTCTAAGCTAATGAATTTTTCATTTAATTGTTGAATTTTTGACAATACAAGTAATATATTGAAATAAGGCTTCTCAGAAAAAAATGCTAATAATATTTTCTTAGACTTTGTAGACCATAATAACAATTTATACATAAGGTTACTCCCTAAACAATTTCAGACTATCAATTAAAACGATTTGTTTCTACACACAATAATTAGCCTTTTATAAACTAAAGCTCGCGGGGAAATCTACTTCAACACCTGTCTGTGTTACCAACTGCAAGGCCACTCATGTTTCATTCCATGACATGCTTGACACTGGCCGAAATGGATTTGCATTTTTCAAATTTGTTTTTTTTTTTTTCTTCAAATTTGCAGACTGAACTCAGCTATAGCGAGCTGGCCCCAACACTTGGCGGTGGAGGCGTTGGTATCCCTGGAGGCGTGCAACGTATGGCGCCCTATTGCAGCGCCACCCTGGGTCGTCCACGTCAAACGGAACTAAAGCGTGCCGAACCGAATATCTATTCGCAGGTAAATGTTATGATGGATGATGAAATTTTGGCCGATTTGCAGGCGGCCACAGCATCAGGCAGCAGCTACGTTAGTGGTGCTGTGGTTGATAATGTCGGCGGTACTGGGGCAAGTCTTTATGTGCCCGGCTATGCAACCCACGTTTAGTTTGTTAATGTAGCATTGTTTAGTTTTTCTCTTTGCTGTTTTGTGTTGACTATTATTTTGTTGTATGCTATTTATTTGGTTTAAATAAATTCTCGAGAAATCATCAAAATATCAAACATGATGCTTCTTCTTATTTACAAGCGTATATGTTTTCACTACTATGAAATTTAAAACATAAATATAGCACCGATTTTTAATTAATTTTTGCTAAACACACATACTTTTATGCTTTTGGGTTCGACTAGATGATACAATCCTAATCATTCACAAGTGCAATCGATTTCCGGTTAGATGGACAGCAAATCAATAAACTTTCAGCTTGCTTGTGTTCATGCTATTTTAAAGGCATATGCTACATAATCCATAGCATATACATATTTTCTCTGTGTTAATGGCCTGGCCAGCAAGAACTGAGCTGTAAAATAGTACTGATGTTTTCTGTCATACAACGGGGCGCATGCATAATGTTTATTCAAAAAATGTAGAATTTTTACTCACAAACGGAAGGGGACCGATTTATTTTGATTTTATTCGTGCACAAATTGTGGACAATTTCTTTGCTTTGTTCCTAGCTAAATTTCAAATTGCATGCCTTTTTTATAAAAAGGAAATGCATAGATGGGATGCAAAGAATGGAAACTTCGAATTCCCTTGTACAGAAAGCAAATATTTTATGTAACCAAAACTGAAATATCTTTACTTAAATTTTTAAATGTGCAGCAAGCTCAATCAAATGCTGCCACATGATTGGAAATAATGCTTTAAAAATATTTGCTCTTTCTGATCGCAATTTGCTGGTTTGTGAAAAACTGTTTGTTGTACACAACTTGTAACTTTCATTCAAAGTGAAACGAGTTGATAATATTTCTGTACCCTGTAGTTAAATAACTAACTGTGAAAATAGAATAGCGTGCCAAAGTATAATTATTTGTCTACACGTCAAGATTTTTCTTGACAAATCACAAATTCCGGTAGTGCGAAGTTAAATGGGAAATATAGATTTAAAAATTGCTGTTTCACAATTTTTGTTGATATAAAAATGTTTAATTTGTTTTTCATAAAGGCAAGTAAAATGGAGAAATTGAACAACGTGGCAAACTGCAATTGCTTGCACATAACTAAAAACTAAAATAATGAAATAGAATCAAAATACAAGAGGATATGTTTCCAGCAATATTGTCGAGAATACATACAGTTTTAGCTTCTAGTGTTTCCAATAGCCTTTTAGGAAATACACTATACACTAATACATTATTAGAAACGAAATATTTATATTGAATTGAAGATTAAGCCTAAAAATAAATTGAAAACCCCATTTGGAACAAACGTCTCAATAATAATACGTGAAAAACCTATCAAATTTATTTTTCCAAGTGTACAAATTATATCGAAATGTATACGAGTATATGCACAGCTGTGCTTTGTACCAACAATGTTCAGGACCATGTCTTTTTTGCAGCAAGGAATCATATTTTCAATCACACACACACACACACCATACAACCTTTATGGCCACAAGCAAACAACAACGAAACGTTAAATCGGGCATCAGAACAAAAGCTTTCTCACACCCGCATGTACATACATACACCTAATGGGCATTGTTTGGTTTTATTGTCATTTATCGAAAAGTTTTACATGTTCCAGCATTTGCTGCTGCTGACCAGCAGGAAAAAGCGATTTTATTTGCCAATGATTTTCATTTCATTTTTATGGCAATTATTTTAATTCGATTATATTTGTATTTATAGTGTGGTGTAGTTTTTTCTCGGCAGCTATGTGCTTTGTTTGTTGTTCTAAAAGTTTTCAAACAATGCTTTGTGGTTTTTCTGATGGGAAAGGATGTCGCTTGAAAATTGACTGATTTAATCTGATTTGTAGAATACTTGTATTAAGCCGTTCTATTACCAAGATTTTTGAAGCAACACCATGTATTTCTAGAGCTTAAGCTTTTCACCAACTCATTTAGTATTGTTTGATTAAACCTACTTCGGTTTTGGTGGAGAAGTATAAAAACAAAATTGGTCTAATTTAATTTTGGCTTGGAATCTACTCGAAGGCCCATTCCTCATTCCTCGACGCATAGGTAATTCTTCAATTACGCTTGTACTTCCTTTTTCATGCACTAAGCTACCTGTTTGATTATTTATGCTTCCTCTTCCTATGGCTACATGCCGCCTAGCTCCCCAGCCATACTTAGTCACCTGTTTGTTTATTTATTTTGCTGTCCCCATCCCACTGCACTCATCAGTCTGTGCTCTCTCAAACCAAACTCTTAAACACCTGTTTGTTTATTTATTAGGTTTTGAGCCATAAAAATGCCTTTGCCTTGTGGTTTTGACTGCGGCAGCAGCAGCAGCAGCAGCTTCAATTCCTTTTTAATTTATTTATTGCTAAAAATTAATTTCATTAAAAGCTAAGTGGGAGGTGTACGCACACACATAGCATATGTTTATATGTATGTACATACATATATACATTTTCGAGCGTGTTTGTATGTGCATTACATTACAGAACAACAGCATACAATTTAGCCATACACGCGCGTACAAGCATACTTATAAATATGCCATGTGCAAACATTTGGTCAACACACATGCACATCAACAGACAGCGATACAGCCACATACTCGTATACAGGCACACCCACACCCACACCCACACTCTCGCTCCAAAACCAATTATTGTTGCCTGTAAATGGGCGCATCAGCTAAATAAACGCAAAGCGCGACTGCCTCTAACAACAACAACTAATACTATACTATACAGCATGAAGTTGGTGCGTGGTCAACCGCATGCATATACAAAAAGCCAGAGATACATAAACGGAGCTGGCCACACATACAAAACACCCACATTTCTATAGTCCTATGTGCATGTTTATTCCTATAAAAGTTAGTTTGAATATATTTCTATATAGGAAATACTTATCTTATAACAATTTGAGGGTCAAAATCTACGTATTTTAGTTCGATTGCGTAAATATTGATGCTTAACAAAGCAGTAGGGTTAACATTTTTCCATCCACGAGGACGCTAATTCTGCAAAAGTAACCACTTCATTAGCAATTATATAATTATATATAATGGGAGTTTTGTCTAAGACGAGATTATACATGATTTCGGCCAACATAGCATCACATTTTAGTTATAGAGCCTAAGATCCATCCTATTGTCTCAAAAAATTGCATGCAAGTTAAAAAATTATTTATTATTTATTATTTTTTCTCTCGACATTTACTGAATGTCTTATCTCATGTACGTATTCAATTTATTAACGTCCAAACTTGGTGTCTTGACTTTTCCCAAGCCCCCGATTTTAGTTTATTTAATTAAAAGAGGGCACAGTATAAGCTCTATTTGCTCATATTTTTGTTAAAATATATCACTTTGTATAAGAATAGTTATACACTTGCTTATCAAATTACACAGTATTATTTAGATACAGAATATCTTAAGAATCAGTTAAGTAACCTGCTTAAATTGTTGTTTACTGGCAATTCGTCACAGGAATGTATTTAAATATATATCTATGATATTCCATGAGGCATATTAGTTACACAAAGCATCTCGGATGAACACCTGCTCCATTTCCATGCCGCCAACATAACTTTTGAATATAAATCAGCAAATTATAAACTGACAATTTATCCCCTCTTTCCTTTCCTCTCTATCATGCCCATCTCTACGCGCTGCTCTTGCAACTCTTGCAGATCGATCTAGCACATCATCCCATGTACTCAACGAGCCCCATGTTCGGCACTAACTCTACCATCACTGGTGTCACCATGTCACATCCATCACAATTGGCGACATTCTCACCCACGCCTCCGCCCATTTTTGCTCACAGCGTGGTCACGACCAGCGACGGGCTGTTGCAACCGGTGACGGCCAGCAATGGGCCGGCTGGTGTGATGTGCATGGGTCTGGTGCCCACATCTTCGGCAGCGGCAGGTCCCAGTGCTGTGGTGCAGCAGCCAACGCCCACGGGCGCTGGCGGAAACGGAAGCATCGTTGGCGTTAATGTCGGCGTCGGTATGAGCCTTTATGGCGGCAGCGAAGTGGTAAGTGTCAGTTTGATGTACTTCTACTATTTCTAAACGGGTGGCCGACTGGCTCACTAGTCTGGTAAGTTGAGTCGAGGCCCATCGCCTAATGGCTGAATTGTTGAAAGCATCAATATGCAAAATGAGTGGCATTGGGGGCCGTCGACAAACATTTATCTTGGATAAAAATCCGTTGTGATTTTTTCATAAATGGTCATTGCACAATGGTAGCGCAAGGGATTTTAACATTATGGATAGCGCTCAAGAGAATTGAACATAACTGAAAACTGGAAGCTCATACATACATACATACATACATGTATATTGATGTGAATCAACTTTAAGCAAGTTTAGTGGGAGATGAAAAAGAACCTCATGAAGAAAAGCTATTTTTAATAGCTCATAGTAACTTCGTGGATTCATCTATAAGTGGAGATTTACAAAAACATTAAACGAACTTATAAGCAAACTAACAAATTGTTGTTTATGGTTTTGTTTCGGTTATGTAACTTTAATATTTTCAGATTGAAATCAACGTTCTAATATCTCGAGTTTAAATCAACTGAAAACTTTTTTAATTATCGATTTAAATTTTAAAACTATTCAAAACAAATTGAAAATATTTGTCGTTGAGGTGTGTTAAGCACACTATCCACAGGCCAGCATGTTGCCTTAACCATGCTCGGCAGCACAAATACATTTTCCCACTAACGTGGCGAACACTGTTTGTGAACATCATTTCAGAGAAAATGTTGACAAGTGCGGAACGGATAAATGGATACGGACGAAATACAATTTTGGCCTAACTGGCATGTACATATGTACTGAGAAACAAAAAGAAAAAAGAAATGGAGAGCGAAAAAGGAAGCACAGTATGTGGATGAAAAAGTCATACATGAAGCGTCCCTATCAATTTCTTGATATTTTGTTGATAGTACATCCCACGCTTCATTGCGCAAATGCTTATTCTTATATTCCTTGTTTTTATTTATCCACAAAGACGGCTCATTGTGGAAGCATTCAATAAAATCTAGCAATAATTGCTTGTTCATTTTCAAACGTCTATGCTTCACAAACATTTTTCCAAATGATGCTCAAATATGTTCGTACGAACAATATCAATAGCAAGAAACATTTCTATTCTATGCGAGCAAAACGTCGAACATTTAAATTCACCCGAGCATCCCCACTAACGTCGAACATTTTGTCGAGCTCAACAAGCTTAGGCAAAATGCTCGTGTGTGGATGCTTTATGCTTTAGTTTAATGTTTAACCATATTTAATGTCCATAGTAGACTTTAATGTTTTTCTCAAATTTAATTTGATGTTTTTTATAGTTGAATTAAATACTATATTGGAATAATAAATTCGAGTATTTTCAAATGTAAAGTAGAGACAAACATTGATTAGAATTCCCAAGTCTGTGTCAGGTATAAATACAAAATTTTACCCCTTGACATATATGGCCGTTAAGCATATGTCAAATAAGTGTATTCAATCAGGTGTTCCTCACTTTTAACTATCAACATTTAATCTAAACTATAAATAGCAAAAAAGTCTGGATACAATAAAATGAACGAATTTGAAAAATTGCTTTATTATAATAAAATATTTAGTAGAGAGTAGACAAAAAAGTGGGAAAAACATTTTAAAATTATAACATTCACTTATGATTAAATATCGTCACACTTTATATTAATATTTCAATATTAAAATCGATATTAAAGTGTGAAACCTTTATATATACATGTTTAAAATCTTGTATAAAAAATCAATCAAAAATGAAAATGAACTCCACGATTGGGAATTTAATAGAAAATCGTTGAGCGCCCCAAAAAAATAAATAAACACATTTATTAATACAAGTTTTAGGACCCTACCATTGAGAGTTGCCATTCTTCATTTTAGTAACCAGTGCTTATGCTTTAAAAGTAATTCAGAGACACTGCTAGTACATTTTTCCCAAAGTTCACGGCGGTAAATGACCTCAGAATGAGCCCAGAAATGACAGTCGCGGCACAATAAAATGTCGCCGCACCGCACTTACTATCTCGAAGCTTTCTCTCACTCTATCTCTCTTTCTCTTCCTCTCTCTTTATCAGCATCTTTTTTACTGCCAGTCTAGCTTTATAAATATGCCATTATGTATACGTACCGTTGGCGACGCGCATTGCGTTGCGCTGCTGCAGGCCTTGCCATCATTGCATTGTCCTCGTATAAAAAAAGGGCAAAAACAAAATTCGCATTACACGTACTTTGGCTGCCATTTCATCCATCCCGCTCACTCACTTGCTTTCCGACTCGTATACGGCTGGCAAAAAAGTTTGCGTTTTTACAACAATTTCATGCCAAAGGACACTGCGGTGTAGCAACTTTTGACTCTAATGATTGCAATTATTATGCCCGAAAAAAAATACTCAACTGAATTTACAATGTTGTTTTTGTTTTTTCCTCGTTTCTGGTATTTTTGGACGTTGCCTTTTTCGCAAACATTCTGTGCGTCGAATGAGTATTGTTGTTGTTTTTTGTATTCTGTTCTGTTTCATGCTGTGTGTATGCCTGGGAGTCGCTGGATCCCCAGAGTTTTGAAAATTGTCCGCCAAAAAGCAGCGGCGCGTAAAGTCAACCAAAGTCTGACGAATGCTGTATCCATGGCATCGTGGCAAGAAATACGACAGCGGTTCGGATTTCTCTCTGTTACATACAAACTTATGTATGCTATGTATGTAGAGCTGTGGCAATATGACAATATTGCCCGGGGAGATTGTATCCAACAAATGGTTAGATTTGGCGGAGCAATACACTGAGAAAAAAAGGCATGAAACTTAAGAACACTCTTGTGTACCAGCTTGCATCAATTCGTATAGTGTATATCAAAGAACTCGTAATGGCGGTGGGGTACTTGAATAATGCGCGGCTCGTTAATTTTCAAACAGTGCTCTTTATTGTCTCGAAATTTGGGAGCGCTGCCTGCGTCTCGCTTTTCTTTATAGCTTTCTATTGGAATTTTTTTATCCACTTAGATGGAATTTTATATTGCCATTAAGTTTACATTTTAGACTCAAATGTCCATAATGCAATGCTGTCCTGCCCTTCTTTTTTCTACAGAACAAGCCACAAGTGCTGAAAACTGTGCCCGAGGAGCTTCATCACCAGCTGAATGGGGAGGAGGTGCTCATTGCCCAGGACCGCAATCATGCAACACGCTTTTGACGTTAAATTCTAGGCCAAGAGCAGCTGATCTAAGCACCAAATCAAAAGAAGTCGATGACATCGTTTGGAAAGTGAAAATGCAAAACTTAGTAAAAATTGACTATAAGTTATGTGATTCAAGTAGCAACAGAGAGAGCGAGTGAAAATTTTGGAGGAGAAGGATGGTGTAGCAAAGAATTTAAATGTAGACTGTAACTCAAGCATTTAACAGTAATTGGATTTGGGCAACGTGTAGCACTTTTTAAAGAAGCAAAGGGGAAAAGCTGTATTATATTTACCAAAAAGATTGAAAAAATTAAAGACAAAATAAAAAATGTAAGCTGTATAAAAAGTAAAAGCAACAAACATAAATTGTAAATTGTTTAAAACATATTTCTCAAATGGAATGATGGCTAAATTAAAACTAATTAAAGCCTACAACTCTCAATAAGCTCCCATGTAAAAAAAAAACTACATACTAACATTTAGAAATTTAACTATAAATAGCTATTAACAAATTCATTTATTGAAATAAAATAACACTAATATGTGAACACTGAATTGTTAGTATATTTTTAGTAACAGCTTTAAGCGCTAGTAATTAAATTACCCAAAAACATTTTAGCTAAGTGAAATAAATTCATTACTGTTGTTAATTTTTGTTCAATAAAAACATGTGTAGCTCGTAATTCAAACATAAAACAAAGAAAATAATTAAAATTACATCAAGCCAAGTTAGTTATAAGGCCCCACTTAGTATAGCTCAAATTTGTAATTTAAATTTAGTTTTAGTCAAAACTAAAGCATAATGAATTTAACAACTGCAGCTAAACTAAACGACGAACTTCAAATCGTAAACATAAAAAGGAAACTGATTCAAATTAGCAAGCCAAAATGCATTTTATACGTAAAAACCAGAAAGACATTCAACTGAAATATAGGTATTTGATGTAAATGTTAACTTTAAAATAACTAACGTATATATACTATACACAAATATTAATTTTAATGTAAGTATAACAATGAAGGATTAACAGCTAAGCAAATGCATGTAAATTATTTAACAGAAGAAACTCGAAAAATTGTATTTAGTTCTAAGTGAACGTTTATAAAATGAAATAGTTAATAAATTAAATTTAATAACACAAATATTCTATTAGTTCGGGTGCAATAAAGGTTCAACATAGCCTGGAACTAACTTTTCGTCCACAACATTTCTCTAGCTTTAGTTTGGGCTTAGTGCGAGAGAAATCAGTTTCTTGAAAAGTATTTCAAATTTGTATATTGCCTTAATGGACCTGCCAGAATATTGAAGTGGAGAGGTTCCACTTTGAAATGATTCTGCATTGAATTTATCTGTTTGTCCTAGCAATAACTAGTAAATTTTTTTGAGGGGGTATATTTCAAAAGAAAACAAAATATAAGTAGAGTGAAGAATCGAATGTTTAAGTCTGAAGGCTATGTGCTATGAATCTAGAAATAAACCCAGGAACCAGTTCTGTTTCAAGCAGTTCATTATCTGATCACTAGGAGTATATAAAATGATACTTGTAAGTTGCAGTAGTTCCATAGTTCATCAGCATGATGTCTTCAAACCATGTTTCGACTGAACTTACTCAGTTAGTTCCATGACACGGCCACAACACAACGTAAACTATTTATATATAGACAGTGACATCGGACGGGACATCCAATACATCGTTCAAAAGTTGTCAGTCATGTAAATTTTGCATGTGGAAACACTTAACACCATTTTCGCTTAAGCAACGCAAACAGTGCAAACAGAAATATATACATACATATATGCACTGTCGTACACAAGGAGCTGTTTGTATATAGTATGTTTGCGTGGCAGGTTGCAGACTACTATAAGGACTGTGGGCATGCAGAGATCATCGCCATCATTTATGAAAGGCCTACATGGAAACCAAATTATGCAAATTTGAAACACAACGTCGATGACTTGTAAATTTTGGCGGCACTGCTCGGTTAATGCTGTTTGGATTTGAAGATACCACATACATATGTATGTATGTAGATGAAAAGGTAAGCTCCACACACATACACATACCTCCGCAAATATTTGACTCGCACGTAGTTGCAACAACATTTGACAGAGTTGACCAACGGGCTGTTCCTTCGGAAGCAAATTAATACAGAAGCTTAGATGAAACATGTCAAGCCGTAAAACCACAACGCCCACCAAAATCAGGATCAATTAATCAACCTGCGCCACATAAATTATAAATTAAAAGCCTATTTATGTTTATGCTGGCAATATGCCCGTACCCGTATCCGTATTCGTCCTGCCACATCAAGGACCATCAATCAAGCGGCAATTAAAAGACATAAAGGCGCCCCCGCAAAGGTTCGTGCATTGTACATATATGCGACCATTATACTTATAGTATAATGGCAAAAAGCGTATTGGGAGTCAGTAGGTAGTGTGCTGGGATAAAACCAGCATTCGATTGTATTCTAAATCATAAATAAATATTAAAAATAAATTGCAATACGATTTTGTGTGCGCTTTGTTTGCTTTTTATGGCTGTTATAATGCACAACGTGCAGAAATATTCCGATAGAAAATAAAAATGACAAGTTTGTTGCCACAGGGCTGTACACTGTTAAGTATTAGGGAATTTAACACACGATACGAGCAAACAGTGTGTCCTTATGTGGCTTTCCATGTCTAAATTGTACTGCATGTCGTTTCGTGGTATTGCTGGCACAGGGTTTACTTTTTAATACATTTTTTGCAATTTACGAAAGAAAATATAGATATGAACCTTTAAATGTACAAGTATTTCAAAAGTGAAGAAATAAATGTATCTCTTTTATGAATAAAATTAAATAATTAATGAAGATATTGTGGAAATCTACTAGAATTAAAATTTTTGAATTTGATTTGATGCTTTAAGAAACTTAAGACTGACAAAAAAGACAAGTAGATGGGTCGATGGTTGGGAAATAACTTTTTATACCCCCGTCCGTCTGTCCTTCTGTCCATCTGTCTGTATGAACGCAAGGATCTCAGAAAGTATAAGAGCTAGAATAACCAAACTTGGTACACAGATTCTCCTGAGCCCGAGAAAGGACGAGTTTGTTCATTTTTCCAGATGCATTAATTAAATTAATTTCTTTTTTGTGGGGCGGTACAGGCTATTTAAGAATTGAGCCTGCTCGACTTTAGCATTCCTTTCTTGTTTATATTATATTCCTACATTCTATTATATCTTAATTAGTTTATTTTACTTCATTTAATTTTCTTTTTATATTTTATTATTCTTTTTATTTTGCTGTTTAACTAGACTCAGCACTTTTGTAAAGTTGTATTTTAATTGAAAAGCAGCTTATAAAATCTAAAATCATTATTCCACCTAAGGTGGAATAGCTAAGGGCTATATGACAAACCACTTCTTGAATAATAGGACCATTCTCAATATGTAATATGGTTTCAAAATCGGTTTAAATGAATCAAAAACTCGTTTCAAATCATATCGTCTCTATGACCCTGTTACATTTCAGTGAATGGGATCAAAAATCTTTTTTAGACACAATAGCAAAGCAGGCAACAAAATTCATCGCAGCGCAGATATCACAACCCGAAAAAATGTAATAAATGAATAACAACAACAAACAATTTATGGGAAATCCCATTGCAAATAAAATGGAGAATGCATTATTGTTGGCCAGACTGCTACGAGTATACTATATGAACGTATAGTATGACTCGATCTAACTCCCCAACACCCAACAACAATTTCAACGACCTCCTCGGGTTGCCGTTAAGTGAGTTTACGATTTTTGCTTCACTTTTATACGTTTTTATGTGCATTTGGTGTTGATTTTTATTACCAAAATTAAAAATTTCGACACTAGAGCTTTAGTGCCCTGTCGTTTGTTTCGCCGTTCGTCAATTCGTCTATTTGGCTGTTGCTTTTGTCTGCCCCTAACGATGATAAATGGCAATTGTAGTTTGCATTCAGTTGCACTAACTACAAGTATGCATTGCATACTGGCAAATTTCTTGTATTTATGCAACATTTGGTTTTAATTGATTGTTAAAAATGACAAACGGCCCGGCAAATCCTCAACAAGCAACGTACTTATGATTTATGTTATTGGCTAGCTAATAAAACCGCTTTAAAAGTAGACAGTGAATTAAATAAACGCTATGCAATTACAGCACTTCTTGTTTTTTTCTGACTTCTTTCGACACTTAAGCCGCTATTAATGCGATGCCCCTGTCTGTCATCCTCTTTGTTCCGCACGCGAGTTGATTTATAAGCTGACAGCTACAGCTACAAGAGCGACAACAACGATGGCGACGACAACTGACCACTGAAATTTTCTTACCACTGATTTATTTACATTTAAGCAATTTCGTCGCAATCTACTGTGTGCGGGCTCGCAGTGCGAAAAGGCTTGGACCATGCCCGCATACCCAACCGGAAACGCACAGCATTGCAAGCGGAAATTGGCAAGCAGTCTCCAATGGTGTTGGGGTGCAGCCGAGTAGCCGAAGTCGCCGACATCAGCGATGTCGCCACCGCCACCACAGAAGATTAATGTCGCCGTTTTTATTGTTTGGCCAGTCGTTGGCCGTTTTGCACAATTTATATTGTAAATAAAAAAGGGCACCGCACCAAAAATGCCACAAAAGAAAATCTCTTCGTACATGTACTATAGTATAATACATACATATATAAAAATAAAACAAGATCTGGTATTTAGGCAAGAGTGACGGTTTCACGAAATGAAACCACCTCATAATAATTCAAGCATAATCAAACACTTTTAGAGTCAACTGTACTCTCTATAATCAGAGCATAAAAAATGCCTTTCAAAATATTTTTGAAAAATTATTAAAGTCGGTTTATGTATATTATAATAAAATATATATAATATTAGTTTCAGTCAAGGGCGTAGGCAGGAGGGTGAGCGCAGGGGGGCCGTTGCCCCCCCCCCCCCCTAGACAAAATTTTGCCATATAAAGTCGACCACACGTTCATTATTATGACGCATTATTTCGCCTTAAAATGGATCTGAGTTGGATTTGTTGAAGTTTTTTTTATTGATCATATGCATGTTATTTTTTAAATGCATCGTGCATTATTTAATCAAAATTGTAATTTTTTGGCGCCCAATACTATTTAATAGAATTGTTATCGCCATATTAAACTAATGCCTGTATTTTGACTCGATTTAAGTTAAAGTTACAAAAAAAACTCCATTGCTAAGAGCTCTTGACCTATTTGCAACGTACCATGTTTAGGAGTTGGTCTTTGTATCTGTATCGATATAGAACGACTGCAATATGAATGAAAATATGTTGAAAGCTAATACTTATCATG